TGATCCAACATAAAAGAAATACTATACAAACAAAAAAAAAACAATAAAGAAAGATATTTTCTCTTTATTTCTTAAAAGCTTTTTTTGTTCTTTTATATCTTTAAAAATAGTCATATTTATAAATAGAAAAAGGAAATGTTTTTTCTCATTTGATGCTTGATTGTTGTTACCATTAAATTATTACTTTAAATTATTCTGTAACAAAAATTTTGAATAGAAAAATTATATTAAAGATCCTAAAGTTTAACTTCATATATGTTATAAAAATAAACAGATATCATAGGGATCGAGGAAAAAAAATGTTATTTTTATTTTTTATATTTAAATATTTTCTGAAACAAGATTGAAGATTTATTGTCTTATATCATATATGTTTTTTTGTTTTTGTTCTAGACTACATATAAACTCCTTCATATCTTAATATATCAAAAGTATTCATTTCAAATTATTGTTCTGTAATGATATATGAGCGGTTCGCTTAACTTCTCTAAAGTCATGTTTGTTCAACAAATTAAAAAAAAGTATGTCAAGTAAGAAAATATGTTTTACAGTATAATCATAATGCGTATGAAAGGTAAGTTAGGCAGTCTACCTAACATAAAGGTTCATTAATTCAGTTTATCCATTAATGCTTCCTTTATATTTAGAGAAGATGTTTCAGGAAATACTTTTCCTGTTTCTTTATAGTAATTTTTTCTTCTCTCATCCAAAGATCTACAACTTCTTTTAATAACATGAAAGTCTGAAATTAGATTTCTTAATGTGATATCGTCCTACATGGTAATTTTCATTTATTTTAAGACGCCTTGTAACCAGTTGACCTATATTATGTGAACATTATTCAATCAAAACGAGTATTCTAGACTCATATGACAACTCTTTATTACTTTAAATCTAAATCCATAGATAGATCTCTTGAGAATACGAGGTTAACAGTACATTTCTATAGTCTGAATGAGTCTGTCTAACTTTATTTCTTGCTGTATACAAATCAACATAATCATCTTTTTGTTAAATATAATAAATGTTAATAATATTATATTTTTTTTTTCGATCGTTTGAGAACAATAAATATTAAATCGTCTCGTCTCGTCTCTAATTTCTTTTTATACAATATGTTTTTTTTTTCGTTGTATACATAAATGTTGATAGTATCTTCGCAATGAAATTTCTATTAATACATGTTCTAGATATTAAATAAAAAGATTCTATGTTTACCTATCTAATTTTAATGTTATTCTAATATCTAGGCATCATATAAAAAGAAGTTTTCTTCTCTATATATTTAAATAATACTCGAGGCAATATATCAATATAACAAAACAAACTAAACAATTACATTGAGAGTTCATTGTTATTGAAAGAAAAAAAATATATATATGAACGCATATATGATCAATCTATTGTTAGTTTTATTAAAGAGAAATACAAATAAGATATTTTATTTGTCTTTCTTTCTTTACATATATATATATATATATATATTTATTTATATATGAATTATTCAAATTCAGTATCTATCTATGAAAAATTTAATTATTGATGACATACTTTGATTTTTATAGAAGTTTTGTTCAGCAAAATTCTTATGATAAACAATGTTGGAATTATTTTTTTTCTCTTCGTGATCTTCTTAATTTATACTTGCTTCTCTGTCGATTTTCATCTACTATCTCATCTTTCTTACATATGTCTGATTAACATCCGATTATTTTAGTCATTGTAAATTATCTATTTTTTGTTTTGTTATTTAGAATAAATTCATTCGAATACATAAGAAAAAAAAAGAAGAATCAGATTTTTATTCTATTAAAATCAAATCATATATAAAATAGTTGAATGATCCCCTAGATATTAAAAATAGTTTATGAAGAATTTTTTACAAAAAAAAAAAAAAAGAATCCAAAATTTTTGTTTTTAGATAACTCCAGCTAAATAAAAATAAACAAAAAAAAAATATATTTAATTTTACCTCAAATATCAAATATTCTTTGTTTCGTTTTTTGTTTGTATTCAATAAAAAGTTCGATCAAGAAAACTTATCGATCATATAGATTAGTCATAAATTTAACGTCAAAAGAAGAAAAGTAATAATAATAATAATAATAATAATAATAATAATACAATGGCTGTGCAGTCGAGCACAAAATAAAATCCTATAAATAGTATTGTCGCCTCCTATGATTTTCTTATCGTTTCTCGTATTTGTGTATGTGTGCTTTTATTAAAAATAACAAGTGTAGGAGTTAGACAATAACTTACAATAAAGCAAAAAAAAATCTAAATGGAATTTGCCTTTTTCCGTTATGTTCCTTAGTTTTTTTTCTCTCATTATCTGTATTCATATAGATGTCTTTCGTCTTCTTCTTTCGACTCTTTGTCAACATGTTTATTTGATCGCTGTGGTACTTCAACATAATTATCACTCGATGTTTTCTCTATCCGCAATTTAACAATCGTACGATTTCTATCTTATCTATTTTATTATATTTCGAGCAAATTGAAGAGTCGAAATAAATATAGAAGTACTATATAGTCTTCTTACAATTGTTGATCTATTTTTACACTATGGATTAAATTTCTTGTATATTATAGATTGCAGTTCAATAAAATAAAATATTAAATTTTAACTAAATATTTCATATCTTTTAGTGAAAATTAATTCTTAAAAAAAAAAGAAAGAAAATTATACAAAAAATTGATTTTATATGAACACAACAAGGATAATACATTATTAAAATTATTAACAATAGATATTTCTGAATTTCTTTTTTTTTTAGATTATTAGTGCTTAAAATAGCAGTTACTATGATGACTAGAGATGTATAAAGAGTACATCTGTGTTTCTTTGACACAAAAGATCTTTCAGTATATGACTTTCTTCAACACTATTTAGATACATTTGATAATATGATTATGGTAGAAAAAGTTTCTATTCATCATCATATTGACTTAACAGTTTTTTCAACCGTACATAATATAATCATCTTAAGATTAAATTTCCTAATCTGAACTAATGTGTTATAATTATAATGATTATGTTTTATTTTTTTCTTCGCACATCATACATCAAATAATATTCAGTGTTTCTTTTTTATTAAACTATAAATCTTTTTAGTAGGCACGACAAGCATAAGTAATCTGATGTGTGACATGATTTACGAGTGAAGCTCTTAGAATAACTATACAAATTCATTCATCTTATTTACGTCGAACTTGTATGACGACAAAAAGAAACAAAAGATAGGAAATTTATTGTATCTACTATTGTGAATAAAATTTCTTAGATTTCAACCGTGAGAATACTATTGTTTGCTGTTCGAGAAGATCTAATTTACTATAAGTAATAAACCTTGGAATAATTCTACATCTGTTTTACATGTTTATTTTTATGTACATAAATTATAATTTAGAAATTTGATTATCTCTAATAAATATTGTTTGAATATGACAATGTATATATTAATTCAAGCTTCTTTTTCGTTTTTTCTTTTGTTACTAGATTGAATGAAAATAAAATTGTAGAGAATTATTCAACTTGATTTACTATACTTTTAGTTAAATCCAATATATATATATATATATATATAGATCAGAAGAGATATTCAAACATTACAAAAAATAAAAATTTTTATATAGCACGTAAAAAAAAGATAAGATTATTAAATAATATATACATAATAATGGACGTGTCTTGCATGAAAATAACAAGTATAATACTGAAAATCTTTAAAATCAAATTAATCAACCATAGAAATACATGCATATTATCTTTGTTATTATTCTATTTAAATTAAAGCTTAATTAAATATTTGCCGTCTAATAATTATATCACGAAATAAATTCAACAAACATAGATCAATACAACTAATAAAAACACAATCAGCTAGTTTAATTTTGTTCATTTTTGTGCAATATTGTTTAACATAAAATAAAATATTTTTTATCTATATTATGATTGAAATAGCTAGATTAAATTCATAACAATCAAATTTAAATTCAAATAATAAAAAAAAACAAATAAATCTATCCATTTGATTAAGTACAATAGTTGTTAAAATGACACAGTTTATTCCCATAGTCATTTTATAAATTCATCTGCTTGATCATATGTTAATTCAATATTAATATCTTTGTAAAAAAAAACAATATAGACCGATAATGTTCATATGAATGAATAGAATATCCTAACAATATGAAATAAAAGAATGTCACTTAGCAAAGTGACTTCTTTTTTGTCATGCATTCTTTTATAAAAATAACTATTCCCAAACGAATATGAAAATCGAATAGTAGGAAAAATAACGCTCTACATACTATAACAGTCAAATGATAAACATCAAACTACATAGGTTTAATCATAATAATTAAACATCATGATGGACATGCAAAGTGTTTTATTATAGAATAACGATTCTTTTTTTTTTTTTATGAAATGTACAGATAATACTAATATATAGATATTAAGACTTGTATGTAATCGAATTCAGAACACAATCATTCATAAATGATGATTGAAGTTTGAACGACTAGCGCAACCAGAATAACAAAATGCTTGGCAGATTTCACCATCTTATTAGGTTTTTGTAGAGAGAGACTCACATTAACATTTAAAAAATATTCAAGTTTTCTAAGTTTACTTGAACATTTTTAGAAAAAAATTTAATCCCTTCGAGTTATGTCACATGTTTGAACTAGTTTCGATAGAAAAGAAAGAACGGACACCCACATAGTTAATAATGTAAGAGCTATTATCTTACATGTTTAGAGTTGATTGAAACTATTTATTTATTTCAATAATTTAATTAAATAAACAAAAACGATAATCATTCTGTGCGATCTTTAACAAAACATATTCATTTTTACTTTGATTTCTTCTTCTTTTTTTTTTTTTTGTTGTTCAAATACAACATCTGTGGTTTGATTTAATGAAAAATATTCTTTATATTGTCTTTCTTTTTCAATAGCCATTATACTATACATAGCGCACTTCGTTGTTCTTATACATGTTTCGTTTTTTTTTTCGTTAATGCAAATACTTTCATATGTCGTTGCAACTGTTCAGATGTTAAGTGATTTATATCAGTTTGTACATCATTATTATTATCTTCATCTATTGAAGTTTGATTAGATGATTTTCGTAGAATAATTGTACAACCACTATCATATAAATCATTACGTTTTATAGAATTACTACTAATTGAAGTCTCATCTGATGATCCTTTATCAGCTGTATCAAGTAAATAATTGATTTGATCATGTTCAGCATGTAAATTATCTCGTTTAAAAATGACTGGTGATGAATTATGTAATAATTACTTCACCAGTTGTTTTTAATAGATCTTCAATGATATTTGCTTCTTGTTCAGGTGATTACCATAAAATTTTAATACAATTTAAATCAACTGGAACAATAATTTAAAGAAATTGTTAATTAATAAAAAAATGGAATGAATTGAAATTTTATTAAAATCACTAACATTTGTTAATTGAAAATTTTTTCCAACTAATATATTACTAATTCCACCTGAACCAATACGATCAGCAACAAATACTTGCAAGATTTTACTTAAATATATTGCACGTTTTTATCCAACATGATCATATGATATATGTTTTGATTATTTAATCTCTGATGGATCAAACTATTCTATTCATTTTATTGAATATTTACAGAATGAGAAAAATATTCTTTGTATTTACTTGTATTAAAAATAAAACTTATTTAAATTACTTTAGATTTCAAAATACAATAAATAATTTCTTATCTCCAACACTTAAAGTATACATTTAGTAATTCATTTGAATATTAATTTTTCCATCTTCATTAGACTTAATCAGCTGTAAAGTGGACGCAAAAAAGGCATTTCTTTTAGTTTTTCATTAACATTTTCGGATAGTTTGTCCTTTGGAAAACCAATATTCTGCAATTGATCAGAAACTATTTGCAAATAAAATCATTAGAAAGTGTAAACATTTTTTGAGCAGAATGAGATATACTCGAACATTCCTTTCATCCAATTACATTCGATCTACGGAAGCCTCAAATCGGAAAAACACAGCAGGTTTCTGAAAAAACAGTAATGGAAAAATACGCTGTGATACCTTTCGGAAATTAATTACAATTTGATAAAGAAAGATCATAAAACGGTCACGAATATTTCAATTAGACTAAAAATATTTGCACTCTCAACAGTGGGTGTGAGTGTGGGTGTGAGTGTCAGTGATTTATTGCCAGTTCATATGAGTATCGCGAACAAACATCCGACATCGGTATAAGTCGAATTGATCCATGACTGGAAGAAAATAAAAATATAAATGCATTTCTAATAAGACTTACGAGTAGATCTCGTACTGAGAGCAAGACATTTTTGGAAAATCTAAAACAAAAAGTTTCGATCTAAAATTTTACCCATAGGCATACTTTATAGTCATTAGGTAGTCGTGAAAGTTTCAACGAAATCTTCAGAATTATCAAATATACCTATAGACAAAATTCTTTGTTTTGAATTTTTCAAACATGTCTTGTTCTCAGTCTCACCGAGATCTACTCCGACAGTTGAATATGTTCCCTTGTTAGCCAATAAATCTGAATAGTTCATGTTTCTTTCGTTGGAATCAATCTAAGTTTGAGTGAACAGTGAATATCTCGTATCATATTCTGAATAAAAACAGTATTCAATATATTTCGTTTGCACTAAAAACATACTCTATGTAATTAGTTGTCTTTTCAGACTATTTGATATTTGTATATGTTATTTGAATTTTGTGATTTGACAGTCCTGCCTTTAGGTTTTTTTTACTATGAAAACTTTTCTCATTTGATTGGAAATAAAAATAATAATCTATTTGAGAAATTTCGATCTGAATTTTTCATTGAATATTACTACCTTTTATCAATTAATCGTTTTAATATTTCTTATGATTCTTTTTTCTTCCATAATATTTTTCCTATATGGATTTTTTTCCATTTGAATAGTCAATTTTTTTAAATTATAATTTCGTTTAATTAAATCATATACAGGGTGCGTAAAAATATTTTTTCATGGGGTAATGCTATGATTTCAAATAGCATCTCTAACGAATTCTATACCAAATTAAAGCGCGTCGGCAATGGGATTTATCGATGCTAAATAATAAAGGTTATGGTAACTTAATAGTAACGAATTCAGAAAATTTCTAGAATTTTACACCATATCGACATAGAAAAATTACTTTCATGAGGTAAAGCCATGGACGCGTTAGAGGATTCGAGATCTTCTATTCTGTCTTATCGTTCGCAAATTAAAAGGGGGTTTTCTATTATGTCTCTAAAAAAAGCCATATTTTGTGATAGTCTCAACGACAGTTTCTCAATTTTATACTTTTTTGGCCAATGCATCATTGATAAATGAGTTTATCTTACTTAACCGAGAGTCGTATAATAAAAAAGAATAGATGATATTTTCAGTGGAAAAAAAACAATTTTTGGTAAGGAGATTGTTCTCGGAACACTACAAACAATATATCGTAAAACCTTGGCACGTTTATAATAGCGGTATTTTTCTTGCTTATGTTGAGATTTGACTAATATAGATGGAATGCATTCATAGTGAAATGTACCACAGTCTGAGTTATTAGTTTATAGCTGATTTGGATGAATGTGGTTGTCCACTAAGAAACAGTTTATGTATAAAAAAATTGTTGAATACATATTGAGAGTGTTTTTATGATTGTTTATGTCTATTTCAAACAATGCTTTTATATCTTTTTGCGATAAGAAATCCGCTCTCATGTATAGAAGCTTTATTCTATAGAACATGACTCAATGCACGTCTTCGGAGATATGTTCTTTCCAATTATGAATAAGCTCTTCTGTGATAAGAGTTTGTTCGAATTTCTAGGAGAAAGTCAATAGGTAGAACATCGTTTTAAGTAACATACAACGACATTTTACTCTATACGTTCTCATTTCAGAAAGATCTCTTCGTGTATGACATATTTGTATGCGTGTCCCGCTAATTAGATCCTATAAAGGTAGGAACGATTTTTTCCTGAAGAAAACCTCAAAAGTTTCTTGAGAACATAATCCAAATGAGCAGTAAATGATTCCAACGCGCTTTCTATAGTAAAGAAACGCATTTTCTAATTAGCTGTCCTTTCTTATTAGTTTCGCCTTGTGGAATGTTCAACTTAGAATTGATGTATTGTTAAGATGACGATAGCAAAATATAGTCCATGCTAAACTTCGATATCGATATGTACATTAAAGGTAAAAAATCTCGGTAAATTGCACAAAATTATTTAAAAAAATCAATTTTCAGAGGGGGTTTCCAAACTTTCATTTGCGTCGTTTGTTCAAGGGAGGTTTTCTATTATGGGATGGGGAGGTCGTCTAATGTATGGGTGGCTTTACGATAAATTTGTTAGTAATGGTTGTTTTATGTGGACAACTCAAACTCGAAGATAAGAAGATCAGTAAACTTCAATAAAAATGATTTATCTCTTGAATCACAGTAGCTATCAAAGTCGGACTTCTGTAGATCGATAGGAGATGTTTCAGGAGGTTTATGAAATTTGCTTAGGATTGAAAAAATCATCTTATGTTAATAAAAGAATTAGGATGTAATACAACAACAATATATATTTGGTGGTCATTACACGAACCTGAAGATGGAGTATTTGTATTTAATAAAGAAGAATATGATTTTGTATCATTTATTCAAATAGCACATAGTTTAGATTTATTAGTTATTGTTTGTGTTGGACCCTATATAATGACTGAAGTTCATTTTGGTGGATTCTCATATTGGATTATGAAAAAACAAGGCATTGCTATACGTCGTCTAAATAAAATATATTATCAATTAATTGATCGTTATTTTGATCAATTAATTCCACGTTTAGTTCCATTACAATATCATTTAGATGGAAATATAATTAACTTTCAAATAGAAGTTAATTCTGATGTACCATTAATTAGTTTTAATGATGCACATCAATATTATGGATATTTACGTGATGGATTAATAAAACGATGAATAAAAAATTTAATAAATATTCTTGCTTGACCAGACAGTGTGTCATTAAAAAAAGCTATTATAGCAAATACGTGGACAGCAACTGAATATACGATTCATCGTTCAACATCGGATGCATTTGCAGTAGTACGAAAGCATGCATCAGATCATAATTCATTTATGGTGATGGGATATTATCCAGGATGGGTAGATTTTGAAGAAAATCATTATCATGAGACAATGGACAGTCAACAGTTTGCTAATGGCATTGATAAAATCTTTTCATATAATGGTTCAATTAGTTTCTATATGGTACAGACGATTTTCCTAATAACGATGGGAAAATTTTGTCTTACCTTGTTTTGTTTGGTACTTGGCTATTGTACATCCAATCAAAAAATTTTTTATAGTTGGAAAATTCTTGGATTCTCGTCTTTCCAATGATATATAGGTTTCCTCTTACTTACGTGTTATCATGAAGAAATTAGCGGTCTACGATGAAGAGGTCCAACTGTCGTTATTAAGTATCGAGTCCCTAATAACGACACTCAGCAAAATTTAAGCAAAAAACTACGTTTAAAGAAAAAAGAATTATTTTCGTGTTTTCTGTCAGAAATCGAGTAATGGTCTCTTAGATAAATTTGTAGAGCGGGTTGAACTTTATTAGTATCTAGCGATTCAAAGAAAACCAACTTTGTTTTAATGGAATGAAAAATGTAATGAGAAAATATACAAGATTGATTTTAAAAAAAGTTACCTCAATAACGACGCTCAGCTAATTTTGTTTTTGTTTCATTTGTAATATTGATAAATTGATAGATCTCAGTGTGCTGATTATAAATATCGTATAATTTTTGAAGACTCACCGAATAATAGATAAAATCTTGACCATAGAAGATAGGTCTAAAAATCGGTTTTTGGTCTATAAGACCATTACTATCCGTCTAAAACTCTTTGAGAATATGCTCATTCGACGCAGAATTTTTTTCTCTGTCAAATTATATAAACAACTTTTGAACGTAAAAATGTTTTTCATCGATAATCAACGAATACCGCGCCCAATGGGCCTTATATTTACTAACGATGGATTTTTCAAGCCTGTGAAAACATAGTTTACTTGGATGGATTATCGAGACTTCTTCGCTACAGACATAATTCAAGGAGCTCTTTCCAATTAAAACATTCTCCGCTGCAAACTACGCAGTAGGAACAGAGTCGAAAAAACCACTGTGAGTAGGCATAGGGATCCATTGAGTCCTGTATTTGTTGATTATCGATGAAAAACATTTTTACGTTCAAAAGTTGTTTATATAATTTGACAGAGAAAAAAATTCTGCGTCGAATGAGCATATTCTCAAAGAGTTTTAGACGGATAGTAATGGTCTTATAGACCAAAAACCGATTTTTAGACCTATCTTCTATGGTCAAGATTTTATCTATTATTCGGTGAGTCTTCAAAAATTATACGATATTCATAATCAGCACACTGAGATCTATCAATTTATCAATATCACAAATGAAACAAAAACAAAATTTTGGTGAATGCGTCGTAATTAGAAAACAAAATTAGCTGAGCGTCGTTATTGAGGTAACTTTTTTTAAAATCAATCTTGGATATTTTCTCATTACATTTTTCATTCCATTAAAACAAAGTTGGTTTCTTTTGAACCGCTAGATACTAATAAAGTTCAACCCGCTCTACAAATTTGTCTAAGAGACCATTACTCGATTTCTGACAGAAAACACGAAAATAATTCTTTTTTCTTCGAAGGTAGTTTTTTGCTTAAATTTTGCTGAGCGTCGTTATGAGAGACTCGATAATTTTGCTGGCCGTTGTTATTAGGGAAATCGTCTGTATATTTGTTTTTCTGAATGAAGAGCAGCCTCAACTAGTGCAGATGTTTCAACTATATCTAGAAACCACCTTGTTTTGAAAATATTAAAAACCTGAAAGTCATTATAAAAAACGTAGGATGAACAAGACAGTAATATAAGCACGGATGAACAAATAACAATCGATAACTATTGTTTATCTGCTTTTACTTATTTTTCTATCATTGTATTGTATGCTCCTTCGTAATTTAAAATTTTTATCGATTAATGTAATATAAATATTGCTTGTCACTTTGATATTGACACCTACAACTTATGATAAATATGTCAAATGTAACCGATTATGATAAGTATTATACAAATATTCTAAGGAAAAATTTATATAAAATTCATACGAAAATTATATCTAAAAATACAGGACAGGACAAAATAGGATACCAGCACAGCGGTACCGTCCGGTACTGTTCCCATTTCTGGTCTGTAAGGACCGACAGCTTTCTAATGCTCAGAAATACGGGTAAAGCTAAATCATACAGATAAACTATATCTAATAATTTAATAATTTGATTTGTAAAAGTCCTTTTATTTTTTTCATAGAACAGTTTGTATCAATTTATACTACTAATAAGAATATTTAAGTGGAAGTTTTTCCATAGTGTGTGCGCATATATTTGCCAATTTTGAATGTCGTGTTTCATTATCAATAATTCTTGCTATCACTCAAACAATGGTAGTAAAATTAAGCCTTTTTCTAAAATAATTTATTTTAATAACTTGTATTTGCTCTATTTTTCAAAAACTCTATAGAATTAAATAAGATAGAACCTTGATGAGATGAAAAATATTTTTGTTGACTTTACTTTGGAAAAGTATGTGATGCAATATTTTTAAATTCATTAAAAATAAATCTGTTAGTGCAAAAAAAAGGGTATCTTATACAATCCTTATCGCAAAGATAGAGATGATATTATTCGTTGATTATATTGAGCCACTCACGATTTACTAGTAATACATGTTCGACTTATTGATGCACAGATTGATTATTAAAGACATCTGTTATACAAAACAATGATAAGTTAAATGCTTACGTAACCAATCAATAGTCACATGAACTACGATTTAATTCGATTCATTTTCATCATATCTTATTAACATTCACAAATTTATCATGGATATAAATCAAATTCACAATCATTTTTCTATAAAAACTGATATTGATGATGATTTTAAATTAATAAATGATATGTCAAAAGAAGCATCTATTATTGATGAAGTAGAAAAATAAAATTTCAATAAATAATTAATATGTATTATATTTATAATTTCAGCATCGTCGTTTACGTGATAATGAAATAACAGAGAAGTTTGATGGATATATACGAAAAGGTTATTCTACGATAAATGATACTTGTCCAGTTTGTAGTGTATGTAATCAATAATAATCTCGAAACTTATTATTATTTAACATATATATTCATTAGTATATCCTTCTTCGTACACCTGCACGTCAAGTATTTTGTGTTGGTTGCAATGAAATCAAAATTGATAATAGTTAGTTTAGAAAAATAAAAAGTTTAGTATTTGTACTAGTATACTTTTGTAGAAAGAACTCGTCATAAAAAGAAAATTGTAACAAGACATAAGAAAAAAAGTCATATAAAATTTTCAAAAACACAAAAAAAGAAAAGAGAACATATTGAATATGTTCATAATTGCAATCGACTTGAAAATAAAGTTAAATGGGCTATTGATAAAGTAATTTGAATTTTATTTAATTTTTCTTTTTATTTTCAATAAAATAATTTTTATCTTTATAGTTAATAAAAATTCAAAAGCCAAATCGTATTAATGAAATGTGTACGGTTATTATTAAACTAATCGAAACAATAGATCTACTCAAGAAACATGAAATGACATCTATAACAAATTAAATAAAAAAAACCTGTTCCACATCATTTTATTTTTCGTTTATCGTTGTTTTATTTTTCGTTTATCGTTGTTT